TTGGTGCTCCGCTTTCTGGGCAGGAGAAGGGGAAGGAGCTATGCTAGCCCGGTCTGTCCTTTTAAAATGCCGTTCTGACACCCAGACCCCCCAACTTCCACATGTATTTCATCCGCCAGAACTGGGTTGCCTGGGCACCCCTATTTTTAGCTGGGTTCCTTGCAATCCCAAACCAAATTGGGGTCTGCTAGAAAGGAAAAAGGGGAGAAGGATATTGGATGCCATGAAGTTGGCTGGATTGGAATTTTTGGCTAAGAATGTCCTACTTGAGCGGAAACCGGTTTGGCTCAGTGAATAGAGCATCGGCCTGCGGACTGAAAGGTCCCAGGTTCGATTCCGATCAAGGGCATGTACCTTGGTTGCAGGTATCCCCAGTAAGCTGATCAATGATTCTCTCTCATCGATATTTCTAACTCTCTATCCCTCTCTCTTCCTCTCTGTAAAAAATCATATATATATATATATATATATATATATATATATATATATATATATATATATAATGTCGTACTTGACAAGTTACCAGGCCCTTCTCTTCATCCCATAGTTGGCCACAGTAGAGAATATAAAGTGGGTTTTCTGCCGAGTTGGAGGTTTCTGAGGATATCAGAAGCTAGGAAGAGGAAGAGGGGTACTCTGACCACACACCTTCCTCATGCTAATCCTTGAGTCCTCCCTGCTACCCGAAAGCCCGACTCAGAAATGCAGGGTGGGGCGTGGGGGCCCAGGACCGTGTTTTGCCAGGAGTTTTGCCAGGCAGGGAATGAGGTCCAAAAGCTGCCCTGGAACCTCAGCTGCCTTCCCGGACACCTGGGCTGGGGCTGAGGTATCGTCCTGCACATCCCATCCTCCCCATGGAGAGCACGGTGGCCATGGTCCCAGGCCTCTCTCCCTTCTTCCAGGCTCGGCCCAGCCTCCTCCCTGAGGACCACTCACCCTTCCCACCCACGCCACCCACCTCACTGGGGCAGGATCTGTCATGCTATTGTGGGGCTCACACTTCTTTTCTTTTAAAAATATATTTTTTAAATTGATTTCAGAGAGGAAGGGAGAGGGAGAGATAGAAACATCAATGATGAGAGAGAATCATTGATGGGCTGCCTCCTGCACGCCCCACCCTGGGGATCGAGCTCGCAACCCAGGCATGTGCCCTTGACTGGAATCAAACCCGGGACGCTTCAGTCTGCAGGCCTGCATTCTATCTACTGAGCCAAACCGGCTAGAGTCGTGGTCGGCAAACTGCGGCTCGCGAGCCACATGCAGCTCTTTGGCCCTTTGAGTGTGGCTCTTCCACAAAATACCATGGCCTGGGCGAGCCTATTTTGAAGAAGTGGCGTTAGAAGTTTAAGTTTAAAAAAAATGTGGCTCTCCAAAGAAACTTCAATGGTGATACTGTTGATATTTGGCTCTGTCGACTAATGAGTTTGCCGACTGCTGGGCGAGGGCAAGCTCACACTTTCTTGAACGGTGGTCTTCAGCGTGAGAGCCCGATTGGGAGGATCAGCGTCACCTGAGACTTTGTCAAAAACGCACCTTCTTGGGCCCACCCGTTCCTGAGACGCTGTTCTCCAGCCCTTCAGCTCTCCAGGTGGTTCTGGTGCTTGCTCGCCTGCTGACCACGGACGTAGAAGGACTCACAGGCTCTGAGACGCGGCTGGGCTGTGGGCGGCACTTTAAAAAGGAGCCCACCTGGCCCTCTGCGCTTCAGCACAGGCCAGACCGAGCGGTAACGCTGCGAAGACTGAGGTTCTGCAGTCTAAGAATAACTGCTGAGAGCTAGAAACTGATATGATTTCATAGATTTGGGAGCTGAGACAGTAGACAGCATTTGCCTAAATTGAATAGCAAAAGTGGAACTAGAATTCAAGTTTTCTGAATCCTAAGTGGGAGACCCAATTTTTTTTCCAAATCAAAACATCTTTTTAAAAAATTTATACGGATTGGGAGGATCTTTTAAAAGAACGTGGTTCTGCCAAAACCGGTTTGGCTCAATGGATAGAGCGTCAGCTTGGGGACGGAAGGGTCCCGGGTTCGATTCTGGTCAAGGGCATGTACCTTGGTTGCGGTCACATCCCCAGTAGGGGGTGTGCAAGAGGCAGCTGATCCATGACTCTCTCTCATCGATGTTCCTAACTCTCTATCTCTCTCCCTTCCTCTCTGTACAAAATCAATAAAATATAGTTAAAAAATAAATAAGTAAAATAAAAGAACGTGGTTCTAAGGAACCCGTCCTCGTGTGAAGAAAGCCCGGGGAGGACCCTGCAGGTGGGTAAAGCCTTGTCTGCCGTGTGCTGTGGGGCCAGGAGGCCCTGCCTGTCCTCTTGGTGTCACTCCCCTCCTCACCGTCCCTTCTTCCACCAGCACAGAGGCCTCTCCAGATGAGCCCAAGGTCAGGGGCAGCGGGCCTCAAACGTACTTGTGTCTGCAGAGCCCTGAGAACAGGATCGCAGAGCTGGGCAGCTGTGCACACAGCAGACCAGCCCACCCAACCAGCTGTGGGGCCCAGGGCCAGAGTACCCACGGAGGCCTACCTACCACGTGGCTGCAAATTGAAAAGTTACAAATCAAACTAACGAGCTTAAATAAAAAGTGTTTTTGCCTTCCCCTTCAACAAATGCACCTTCATAAAGACGTGGCAGACTGGATATGAGGTGCAGCAAGGACAGGCTCCCACCCACAGCCACCCGCCTCTTCCCATCCAGGCTCCTTCCCAGACGTGGAGGGGCCGGTGCGTGTCCAGTGGACAGCTCGGCCTGTCCACCTCCTGCAAAGAGCCACCTGTGACCACCGCGGGAGGCAGGACCTGAGGGGACAGAGGCCTGTCCAGATGCACATGTGTCAAACACAAGGCCCGCGGGCCAAATCCATCCCGCCAGGCCTTGCAATGTGGCCCGCACCGCGCTGTCATCACTGCACTCCGCTGCGTTTCCATCACAATGACAGTTTATGACTGTTCAGTAAACCATTCGGCCCGCGATTTAGGCTGGATTTTAGATTTTGGCCCCTTCTCTGATTGAGTTCGACACCCCTACTCTAGAACAGTGGTTCTCAACCTTTCTAATGCCACGCTCCTTTAATACAGTTCCTTATGTTGTGGTGACCCCCAACCGTAGAATTATTTAGGGTCACCTAAGACCATCGGAGAACACAGATATTTACATTACGATTCATTAACAGTAGCAAAATTACAGTTATGAAGTAGCAACGGAAATAATTTTATGCTTGGGGGGGGGAGGGTCACCACAACACGAGGAACTGTATTAAAGGGTCGGGGCATTAGAAAGGTTGAGAACCACTGCTCTAGAGGCTGGCTCAGGAGCATGGAGTACAGATGGGGTGTGGCCCGAATGGCGTGGCTCAGTGGTTGAGCATCGACCTATGAACCAGGAGGTCACGTTTCCATTCCCAGTCACGGCACATGCCCAGGCTGCGCGCTCGATCTCCAGTGTGGGGCGTGCAGGAGGCAGCTGATGGATGATGCTCTCTAATCATTGATGTTTCTCCTCTCTCTCTCTCTTGCTTGCTGAAGTCAATAAAAACATTAAAAAAAAAAAAAAAGATGGGGTGTGGGCTCTGGGAGAATGCACCCCTTTTCCCGTGACTTCTCCTGCAGTGGGTGGGGTGCCGTCAGAGGAGGGCTCCAGCAAAGGCCCTGAGGGCTGCTCCTCACACTGTGGGCACCACCTGGGACTCTCAGCCATGCTCCAGGCCCTGCTGAGTCAGAATCAGCATCCTCACAAGGTTCGGGGTTTGTGTGCACATCAAAGTTAGGAAAGCACTGCTCTAAGGCACAAAACCCAGGCCCAGGCCCCTCTGGTCCAGGTTTGGGGGTCCTAGCAGCGGGTATCAATAAGCATTTGCTCAATGAATGCCAACTGTCACCTAGGACAGGCCCGGTAGCCATCAGGTGGGTGGCTGCCTGGCTCACGGGGCCTTCACTTCCTTTTTCTCTGGGGCCTCCGTGGGTGCTTTCACTGTGCCCGGCCTGAGCTGATTGGTTCGATAGGAGACACCTGACCCCCAACGGTCCAATCAGATGATCTCGCTCCGAAATTGGAATGTTAAGCCCCAAGGACAATGGAGTAATAAATAGCAAGTCACAGTGGCTGTCTTTCCTGCACCTGTGATGGACCTGAGTTTCATGTGTAGTGTAACCCGGTCTTCACGACAACTTCCGCCAGTCGGTGTTATTCTTCTGCTCGCTTTTCAGATGAGGAGACGGGGCTCAGGTGTGAACTCTCCCAAAGCTCCAGGAGGCCGGGGCGGAACTGGGAGAGCTGAGGGACGGGCTGGACCTGAGCATGTGGAGTGGTGTGTGTGGTGTGGTGTGGAGTGGTGTGTGTGGGTGGCGTGGTGTGGGACACCATCGTCAGCGTCTGCTGCCAGGTCTCCAACCTCAGGATGATTGGGCCAACCACCCAGCAATGGCTGTGCGCAGTGCAGACACCTGGCTCTCAAGACAGCTGCGGCTACAGAGGATGGGTGGCCAGGGGCAGAGTGAAGGGCAGGAGATGTGGGAGAGGGGAGCACAGAGAACCTCCATTCCCCAAGCAAGAGCAGGGCGCTGGCCAGGGCCAGCCCGGCCGTTAAACTCCAGGCCAGGCCGGCGAGCTCCCGGCGTGAGGGCTGCTGGAGATCAGGCCCCCGAGCCCCCTCCAGTGGGTTAGCAGCTAATGTGCCACAGGGAAGGTGTGGGCAGCAGACTGCGGAGGCACAGGGGAGGGGCAGGGACATGTGCCTCTTCCTCGGTTTGACCCCAAGAAGCTCCGGGGCTGAGGCACTGGGCTGGGCCAGGATGGCGGAGGCCCTGTGAGGCCAGAGGACCGGTCCACGGGGGAGAGAGCAGCTGGGGCCTCACGGGCTGGAGCCAGGCTGGACCCTGGTTCTGGTTCTCAGGGAAACAGGCTCCGAGTGGAAGCTGCCATCTGGGCAGGGGTGTGACCTAGGCAGGCCGGCCTCCACCCACCTCAGAAGACAAGCCAACCGGCAGCAGAAAGCTCTATCGGGACCCACGCCTCGGCAGGTGCAGGGCTGTTTGGCTTTATTGAGAACAAACCACCTTCTCCCGGCGCTAGCACAGCGGGGGCCCCGGCCATAACCTCGCAGTCGGGGTCACACCTCGGGCGGCTCACCGCAGAGCGGTCACACGCTGGCGGCTTCCTAACCCAATTACACTTCTCACTGCACGGATCCCCCTTAGAAAAATCAAACCGTCGGAGAAGAATCCTTTGCTGCCCCAGTGACGAGGGTCCAAAGCTTGGGAGCAGAGGGGCTCCTCCTGGGCCCTCGTGGTGATGGTGGTGGTGGTGGTGGGGGAAGGCTTGCCCAGCGTGGTGGCCAGGACCCCTCAGGATGGTGTGACGATGGCCAGGGTGCTGCCAGGGGCCTCCTTTGCAGCTGAGGGATGGCAGGGACCCCGCACCCACAGGTGGGGGTGCAGCCCTGGGATCCTCGCTTGTCCTCAGTGTCTCTGAGGCCCCGCAGGCGGGGATGGAAGCAGCTCAGGCCCACGCGGCTCCAGGTTTCTCTCCTGTGGCTTCTCTTGCTTTGGTTTTCCAGGGAGCGACATTCAGGGTAAGGGCTCGCAGCTCTGGGACGTGTTCTGGCTCCTCGGACAGCTGTGGCGACAGCGGAGTCGAGCGAGGACCCTCTCCAGGCACTTCGCGGACTCTCCCGGGAACAGGCAGAGGGAACCTTCCTGGGAGAGTGGCCTCCGGCCTGCAGGGTGCAGGGCTGGGTGAGGAGGCCCCTGGCACACTGTGAGGAGGCCGTGCTCCGCCAGCGCCTGCCTGACCTGGGCCTGTGGCTCTTCTGACAGAGAGAGAGGATCTGCCAGTTCCCGGTGCTTCCGAGGTCCCTTGGGGCTGCACCCAGCTGCTGCTGCCAGAGGGACAGGCCTAGCTGCAGAGGGGCGGGCGGCACACTGCTGGTGCGGGAGGGGTGATCTGAGATGGAGCCGAAGAGGAGGAAACACAGGCGGAGGGACTCCTGCTGACTGGGCTTCACCCCAGGGCAGAGTCTGGTGCAGCCGAATCCACCGAATGGCAGGGCCCAGGACGACAGCATGTCTAGCTCTGAGCCTCCCTCCTTCCTGACAGCAAACGGGTGTTTAGACCCTGACCTGCCTCAGGCCCCTTAAGAAATCTTACTAAGGAGCGTTTCCTTTGTCTGAGGAGCCCTGGAGGATTTCGTCCCAATGGCCCAGCCCCGGCTCCCTGGCCTCGCCAGCTCAGCAGTCAGGGGGCCAGTGGTCAGGGCCACACCAAGACACAAAGGCGAGACCGTGGGGCTGCCGGAGCCAGAGGCGTTGGCTCCTCCGAGGGCCTGGCTGTGGCTCATCTGGTGGAAGCCGTAGTGGCCAGACACAGTGTCCTCAGGAGGGAGGCTGGGACCGAGTCTTGAGGACAGATGGGGTGGGGAGGGAGCTGATGGCGGTGCAGTGTCCTTCTCCAGAGGGGAAGTGGGAACCGGCAGGGAGGTCCCCGCAGGCCTGTCATCTCACAGCCCCCGGGGGCAGCTCCCGCAGAGGAGGCCCTGTGGGACGTCCGGCTCAGCCTGTTTCCTTGGCAACCGGCCTTTTCCAAGCCCGAGCCCGTGAGGCCCAGGTGGTGGAGCTGCAGGTTTGCGGGGAGGTGGTGCCAGCTGCGGGTGGGCTGTGCCTGGCAGGCGGGCCAGCTGCCTCAGGTGGCAGAGGGGCAGGTGGTGCGGGAGGCGGAGCTGGGTGCCAGCAGGAGAGGCAGCTGGAGGGTGGGGGACTTTTCTCGAGCCTTCGTCGTTTCCACTCCGAAGCTTCAGTGTCGGGACCGCAGCTCTGAGAGCTCCGTGTGAGCACATTTCCTCTCCCATCACACGTTTCTCTCCGGTGTCAGCTGGCTTTCCGAGGAGAACAGCTTATTTATAGAGGTTTCTGGGTGGGTTTCCGTTCCAGGGAGGGGAGGCTGGCCAGGGCTGCTTCAGGGGGCGGGCGGGAGGCGGCCGGCCGCGAGGGCCAGCGGGAGCAGCAGCAGCAGCGGGGAGGCGCTGGCGGCGAGGCCTGGGGAGAAGCACAGACAGCGTGAGGCCCGGAGGCACCTCGGCGGGACCCCGCGGCACCCACTTCCTCCCACTCTGCCCACCCGGCCGCCTCTTCGCCTCTTTCCATGCGGCTGCAATTTTCCTTCCCCTCCTTTTTTTAAAAAAAATTTTAAATTTTATTTTATGCACATTCATTCCTTTCAAAATTACACCAGCTGTATATTTATGTAGCCGCCTCATCCTTTCTGAGGATTACTTTTAGCCTTTTTAGTCATTATCCAGGTCTCTCCGGGCGACACAGCCCGTTCCCGCTGCAGCTCTCTGCAGCCGCCTGCTCAGACCCTCCCGAGACACTTCACCTCGATCACCTCGAGCAGTGCTTCCCAAAGTGTGGTCCGCGTACCCCCAGGGGTCCGGGAGGAGTTTGGTGGGGATATGCACTGCACTGTGCTTAGCTGTGCCTAATTCTACGTTCTCATGAGCACGAGGGGTACTCAGCGTTACGAAAGTCTAGAAGGGGTACACGTATGTCAGAAGTTTGGGAAACACTGACCTGGGGGGCCCTGAGCTCACTGGGGTTCGGGTGACAGGCTGGGGGAGATGCAGGGCAGCAGGCAGGATGCCCGCACTTCCTCCGGGGCTGTGCGCCCGCCCAGGGCCCCCGCCGCCCGCGCCGGCCCTACCTGCCCGTGAGCACTGCTGGGACAGCATGCCTTCCAGGGCCGCCACGTAGTCGGGGCCCAGCCAGTCAAGGTAGGTGGTCCTCTCCCCCACGGGCGCCGCCCGGACCGTGGCGTCCCTGAACAGCAGGTCCTGGCCGTGGTAGTCGGTGGAGTCGAACATCTTGAACCCGTTCTTGTTGTGGTCGTCTCCAAACAGGCCCTGGAAGCGCCACAGGCAGGCCTGCTTTTCCCCGGGCCCACCCCGGCCCCGGGGCTGCGGCCAGTCCCGGCTTCCCACCAGGCGGGCCGGGGGCAGGGGGATGCTGGCCGCCGGACGCTGCCCGAAACCACGGCTGGCAGCTCGCCGACCAAGGTCATCAGAAGGGGTTGGAGTGAGATGTGGTGAACTACTGCAGGAAGGAGTGGAGTGGCTGTCAGTCCTTTCTGGGGGGGGGCTCAAGGATCCTCTTGAGGATCTGATGAAAGCGACCAGCCTTGTCTCCAGAATAACACACATCCAAATGGGGACCGCCCCCCCGGGCATGCCAGAGAGTTTGGGGGGAAGGGAAAGAAGGGGTACTTTTGCAGAAACCGGTTTGGCTCAATGGATAGAGCGTCGGCTTGGGGACTGAAGGGTCCCGGGTTTTGATTCCGGTCAAGGGCATGTACCTTGGTTGCGGGCACATCCCCAGTAGGGGGTGTGCAAGAGGCAGCTGATCGATGATTCTCTCTCATTGATGTTTCTAACTCTATCTCTCTCCCTTCCTCTCTGTACAAAATCAATAATATACATACATATATATATATATATATGTATATATGTATATATGTGTATATATATATATATATATATATATATATATATAGAATGGGGTACTTTAGGACCAGGACCCTGTTGCCAGACAGCCTGGGTGAAATTCTAGATGCATTTTGAAAGTGCACCACCAGGATTGGCTGGTGGATGGGGTGCAGAGCATGGCAGGAAGGCTGGAGTCCAAGGTGAGTCCCGAGGAAATGGAGAGGCTCAAAGGGGAAGGCTGAGGGGAGGGCCTCCAGCCTTGGGCTTGTTGGAAACACCAGATGAAATGCCACGCACGCCGCTGTTAGCTGCAAGCCTGAGACTGCAGGGTGGATGGCAGCCGGACGGAAGGAGTGCATTTGGGAGGTGTCCGTCAGTGTATCCAAAAGGCCCGGGACTGGGTGAGGGCTCAGGGGTGCAGGTGTGGCAGAGAGAGGATTGGGATTGAACCCTGGGGCCCTCCTGTCGCCCAGGCCTGGGAGTGAGGAGGGACCGGGGCTGGCAGGAGCGGCAGCCAGGCAGGCAGGGGTGGGCCCGGGCCAGGGGGAGACGCCAGAATGAGGGTTCTGCGCCCTGGCTGCGGAGAGGTCAGGGAGATGAGGTGGGGCTGATGGGAGGCGTTGGGCTTAGCAACCGGAGTCCCTGTGCCCTGGACCAGGGCAGTTCCGGGCGGGGCGGGGCGAGTAGTCTCCGTCCTTAAGGGAGCCCGGAAGGGGAGGACTGGTGGCTCCAGAGCAGAGCCGGCTCTCTGAAGGAGTTTTGCTGTAAAGGGCAGTGGGATTATGGCTACAAAGGGATGTGAGACCAAGAGAGGTGGTTTTTTTTTTTTTTGGTTTCTTTTTAAAGATGATAGACATACCAGTATGAGAGTGGCCCAGCTGAGAAGGGAAAATTAATAATGCAGGAGCCAGAGGGGAGGCTGGTTGGAGGGAGGTCCTTTGCTGAGTGGAAAGTCACTAATCCCTCCCCTCCCGGCAGCCTCCGTTTCTCCTGAGGTCTGCTCCAGGTACACGGAGGTGTGCTGGGGCCCCCCCGGCTCACCTGGGCCTTGTCCAGCAGCCCGTACACGGCGAAGACGTTGGTGTCCGGCCGCACCATCACCGCATGGGACGGTATCTGGGCCAGGTTGCAGTCTTCGAACTGAGACACCTCTGCGCGGGCCCCGTTGGGACACAGCAGCTCGTAGTCCTCCGCCCGGAGCTCCGCAGCCCAGGGCTCGGGATTGTGGCCTGAGGGGAGGGAGGGGGGAGGCTGCTGTCCTCCTGGATCCCCAGGCCCCTGGCTGCCCAGCCCCCAGGGCCCCCATTCTCCAGCTGGCCTGCCCGATGGCCGGGATGAGGGAGCCGGCGGGATGCAGTGATGGCAGGAGCCACAGGCCGCGGGGGGAGGGCGTGCCTGCTCTGTGACAGGCATTCCCCAAGCCCTGCTCCGTCCTCACCGGGGCCACCGAGGCAGGCCCCCCAGCCCCCCTTCAGTGGGTGAGGAAACGGAGGCCCTCACCACTCTCAGGCAAAGCACCCATCGTGTCTCCCAGGTCAGGCCTGAGGGTGGATGTGTGTCTAAAGGTGGTGTGTGCAGGAGGCAGCTGATCGACGTTTCTCTCTCATCGATGTTTCTGTCTATCCTTCTCCCTTCCTCTCTGTAAAAAATCAATAAAATATATTTAAAAAAAAAAAGATGGTGGCCGACCTCCTTCCTCCCCTGACAGCTGACGTTCTCAAACCAGATGGGGCCCGTGAGAGGCCGTTCCTGCAAAGAGCCTCTCTCTCTCACTCGGTAGATTTGGGTTGTTTTTTTGGGGTGGGGGTGGGGGCAGGAACCTGGGCTTTAAACCAGCCCCCCCCCCCACCCCCGCCCCCGATTCTGAAGCAGCTTGGCCCAAAGGCTTCCCGAGAAACAGGGCCCTTGGGGGCATCACTTCTGTGCCTTGGTACCCCCCCCCCCTCCACTTCCTGTGGGAACTTCAGGTGGGCCCACGAGCAGAGACAAAAAAGAAAAAAGGAAGAGGGAGGCCTGGCCAGTGTCGCGAAGGGGCTGGAGCACCAGCCTGCACACCGAAGGGCACACCGCAGGCTTAATTCCTGACCAAGGGCACTGCCCGCCGGGCTGCAGGGTCAATCCCCGGTGGAGGGCGAGTGAGGGGGCAACCACCGACCGATGTGTGTCTCTGACATCGATGTCTCTCCCTCTCTCCCCGCCTCTCTCTCTCCATCCTTTCCCCTCTATCTAACACCAGTGGAAAAATATCACCTGGTGAGGATTGACCAACCAAACAAGAAATACACAAAAAGCAACAAAGGGAAGTGAGCCGAAACCGGTTTGGCTCAGTGGATAGAGCGTCGGTCTGCGGACTGAGAGGTCCCGGGTTCGATTCCGGTCAAGGGCATGTACCTCGGCTGCGGGCACATCCCTGGTAGGAGGTGTGCAGGAGGCAGCTGGTTGACGTTCCTCTCTCATCGATGTTTCTGGCTCTCTATCCCTCTCCCTTCCTCTCTGTAAAAACATCAATAAAAAATATATTAAAAAAAAATAAAGAAAATAAAAGGGAAGTGAGCAGCCCAGGAAGGCGGGTGCTCCCTGCAGGTGGTTCTGGGAGGCCTCCCTGACCCAGGGGGCAGGGGCCAGGCCCAGGCAGGCTCCCAGGCTCCTGCAGGACGCTCCACCCCTCCTCCGGGGGGAGCCCAGGCTCTCGGCGGAGGCTGGCAGGGGCGAGGGGCCGTGGCCACAGGCCTGGAGCCCTTCTCAGCTCGGTTGGGGCAACTGGTGTGCAGCCCGGTGACCTTCACAGGCGGGCGGGTCCTGAAACCCCAACGGATGTTCCCTGCTCTCCTCCCCCACCTCCGCCTCCCCTTGGGGACACACATGCCTCTCCTAGGCTGAGTTTCTGGGCCGAGCTGTGCTAGGAGCGAGTGGGAAGGACTGTGCCTCTGTGTGTGGGGTTCAAAGCCGGGGGTAGGCAGGCTTTACAGCAAGTGCAGGCGAGGGGTGCTGGCGGGAATGGGCCTCGCGCTCTAGGAAGGAACAGATTCCCTGCCGGAGGGAGAGCAGGGCGGGCGGGAGAGGGGTGCATGTGAGGGGCCTGCGCCCTGGCAGGACCCCGGGCGGCTCCGGGGTCCCAGAGCACAGGGGCCCTGAGCGCTTTTCCCCAGGAGGAACCCAGAAAGGGGCTCCGGAGGAAACACGGCCAGTGCCGGGCGGGCGTGCCCGCCTCTCCGCCTGGGGCTCAGCGTGGCTTCCCTGCCGGGGGCATTGGCCTGCTCGGGGCCAGAGACCAGGAGCTGCTGTGAGTGATGCCTGCCACCCGCCCCACGACACCCCGCACCCCGCTCCACCCCGTACCCGGAGCCTCGCCCCGCGGGAGGTCCCGGTCACCGCGGGCTGCCATTTCGGTGGGATATGGGTTTTGACTCTGGACCGTGTGCCCTGAGACCACACGGTATGGCCAGAGGTCTGTTCTCACCACGAGGCTCTTGGGTAAGGTGACCAGACGTCCCGATTTTTAACAATTTGTCCCGCGTCCCGCGGCGTTTTAAAAAAGTCCCGATTTTTGGAAAATGCCGTAGGACCCAGGACAAATTGTTAAAAAGCGGGACTGCCGAGACCGGTTTGGCTCAATGGCTAGAGCGTCGGCTTGGGGACTGAAGGGACCCGGGTTCGATTCCGGTCAAGGGCATGTACCTTGGTTGCGGGCACATCCCCAATAGGGGGTGTGCAAGAGGCAGCTGATCGATGACTCTCTCTCATCGATGTTTCTAGCTCTCTATCTCTCTCCCTTCCTCTCTGTACAAAATCAATAAAATATATTTAAAAAAAAAGAAAAGAAAAAGCGGGACGTCTGGTCACCTTAGTCTTGGGGCCCCGGGACCCCCCAGGGCCAGAGGCTTCTAGACTCAGTCTTTCCTGTTGCTGCTTGGCCCCAGATCCCAGCAGCGCCCGGTGCCGGGGTTGTGCTGGGGATGGGGAGCAGCCCCCCCCCACCTGGCCTGGCCCCGGCCCCGGCCCCGTACCGTCCGTGTTGTCGAAGACGGTCGTGTGCTTGACGAAGGCGACGTCCCCCGCGTGCTCGGCCAGGCACCTGCCACGCGGGAGGCCAGAGCGGGCGTCAGCGGGAGGGCGCCAGCCCCGTGCCCGGCCGGGGCCCCGCCGGCCCGCCAGGTACCTGAAGGCGCCGCTGTAGCCGAAGTACCGCTCCTGGCTGCTGCCCACACACCGGTGGCGGCCCTGCTCGTCCCCCACGCACAGCGCGCACAGCGAGGGCGGGTAGTGCCCGGGGCTGTTGGCGGGCACGCAGCTGGCGCTGAAGAACTCGCTCACCGCTGGGGGCAGGGACGGGGGGGGGGGGGCTGAGGGGCCTCCGGGGAGGCGGTGGGAGGGCTGCTCCCCACGGTCTGCCCACGCGGCCCGGCCTGATGGCTCAAGGCCACCCGTCCGCCCGCCCGCCCGCCCAGCTCTGCGTGGCAAGGCCCCCGGGAGAACAGCGGGCAGGGGAGAGCCAGAGGCCGTCTGGATACAGGAATCCCCTGGGGAACCTGGCGAGTGGCCACCCAGTCGTCCCTGGAGCTCCCTCAGGGATGGGGAGCTCACTGCCTCCTAGGCTGGTCTGTGCCGGACAGAGCACCCGGGTGCCCAGCTGCCTGGGAGTGGAGGCAGCCCATCCCAGCTCCTCCTGTGTGCTTGTGGAGGTACCGGAAACAAAAGTGGTGCCAGCCAGGATAGAGGTGTGGGCGCCTCCGCCCAAGGATCTTGCCAGCTGCCTCCTGCCCTCCTCGAATGTGCACGACTTAACACATGGGGGGGCGTGGTGAAGTGTCTTCTTCAGCACTTACCCACATGGATGCCACTTGCAGGGCTGCTGGGGGGTGGGGGCAGGCCCCATGCCCACGGGAGCCGGTTCCACTCCGGGTGATGCGTGGGTGGGGGCACCATGGCCCCCTCCACAGAACCACCAGATACCCCGACGTCACCGGAATATTTCCCGCCCCCAGGTCTCCGGCCGCCTCCTGTGGGTGCTGTGGGAGAGGGTCCCGCCCCGGCCCACCCCGAGAGCCCTGTGACCCGGGAGGCGCACCTGTGAGCACGTCGCAGTCCCGGGGCCGGACGAGGCCCCTCCGCACCAGGGCGCCCACGGGGACGGCCCAGCCGGCCGGGCTGCCCAGGGCCGGGTGGCAGGAGCGCTTGCCCCGCAGCTCGCTCAGGCTGAAGGCGGCGGAGCTGTTCCGCCGTGCCACGGCCACCACGAAGTACGCGTTGCTCCGGTCCTCCGCTGGGCGAGGGGACGCCGGTGAGGCCCTGTGCGTGCCTTCCGGCCTCCGCTGGGCGAGGGCCAGGGCCCCCTCGCCCTCCCCTCCCTCCTGCTGCTCTGCACCGGGGTGCCCTGCCCCGTCACAGGCTCAGCGTGCCCAGGCCCCAGGGCTGGTGGGTGTGCACATCCCAGGGGTCCCTGCCTGTCCCCCCTTCATGGCGAAGCAGCTCAGTTCTTTCTCCCACCCCCGCCCCTGCCAACAGTCTGCACCAGAGGGTTGGATTCCTTTCTCTCTTTGCACCCAGGTGGCATTTTTCTTGCCTCCTGGGAGGAGAAAGGCGGAGGCTCAGCCGAGGCTGCAGAAGCGTTTTTTCTAAGCCCAGAGACTTTTCACATCCGGGTGGAAGGGACCTGGGGTCCTGGCTGAAGAGGACAGAGCACCAGGGCCTCAGCCCGTGAGCCGGCAGGAAGGGGGGCCGCCTCTGTGAGCCGCACGGTCAGGCCTGGTAAACTACCCGCCTGTTTTGTACGGCCTGGGTGACAAGCTAAGAATGGCTTTTATATGTTCAAAGGTTTGTTAAAAAGCGAAGGAGAGGATGTAGCAGCAGAAGAGTGTGTGGCCTGCAGAGCTGAAGTCCTGACCCTCTGCAGACCTTCGCTGACTCTGGGCAGACTTCCAGTAGCGAACGGGGACACGGAGGCTGGGGCTGCAGGTGCTTGCCCGTGACAGCCCACAGCCAGCCCACAGAGGCATGAGGGAGAGCTGGAGCTTTTGAAACAGCCAAGAGGGGAAGTTTATCTATACCAGATAATAAGAGGGTAATATGCTAATTCTGGCTCTTCATCTTCTGGACAAAGCCACGGTGGCGGGAACCAAGGCAGAGGCAGTTAGAGGCAATCAGGCCGGCAAGGGAGAGCAGTTAGGGGCGATCAGGCCACCAGGAGGGAGGAGTTAGGGGTGATCAGTCCAGCAGAGGAGGGCAGTTAGGGGAGATAAGGCCAGCAGGGGGGAGCAGTTAGGGGCAATCAGGCCAGTAGGGGGAGCAGTTAGGGGGCGATCAGGCAGGCAGGCAGGCAAGTGGTTAGGAGCTGGTGGTCCCAGATTACGGGAGGGATGTCTGAGTGCTGGATTGGAGATGGTGCAGGCCAGACTGAGGGACTCCCACCCCTGTGCATGAATTTTGTGCACCGGACCTCTAGTATACATACAAATATCAACCACCTCCCAGCCAAAGCCAGCAGCCTGGCGCCTGCACTCACGGGCATACTGCTCGCCAGCCGCCGGAACCAGGCCATATGTCTTCCCAGCCGTGTAAATGTCCTCACCCCTCAAGGTCACAGCGTCGATTTGCCCGGCCTGCAGGGGGCAGAAAGGGTGGCCAGGATGGGGTGGGCTTCCGGATGGCTCTGGGTGTCGGGATCTGATGGCAGGTGGTACCTGGTCTCCTGGCTTGAGGGTCTGCAGAGCAGAACCTAGCATGAACCCTGCCCCCTTGCTTGGTATGGGTTCTTCCCATGGAATCCCCGCCCTCAGAGGCCCCTGGCCAAGGCTGGGCACACAGCACGGTGTGAGACACATTTGTAGCACGTGAGTGCAGTGGACCAATGAGCCGGGTCTCAGGAGGACACAGTCTGCGGCCTGTGAAGGAGGCTGCAGGGCTGTGGGAGGCAGGTGGACACTCTTGAGGGCTGGATCTGGCCTGCACTTGGGGACCATCCTGAAAAGAGCTCCTCACCATCAGGTCCCACCTACTTGCTCGTAAAAAATAGGAGGGATCTGGCCAGTGTGGCTCAATGGTTGAGCATTGACCTATGAGCCCAGAGGTCACAGTTCCATTCCCAGTCAGGACACATGCCTGGGGTTGCAGGCTTGATCCCCACAGTGGGGTGTGCCAGAGGCAGTGGATCAATGATCCTCTCTCATCATTGATGTTTCTATATCTTTCTCCCTCTCCTTTCCTCTCTAAAATCAATTTAAAAAAATACATTAAAGACAAAACAAAACAAAACAAAACAAAACAGGAGGGGAGGAGTGCAGGAACCCAGGAGCTGCTGGGACCCTGTGGCCCTGGTGGGGCCTCGCACCCCCCCCGAATCCTAGCCTCTGTGTCCAGCCGGAGCAGCAGGACAGAGCTGAGTGGGCCTGAGACCAGGACCAGAGCTTCCGACTGTGGGTGGCGGGCATCTTAGTGGCTGTCACAAAGTCACTGTCATGAGCCATGACAAGCGTTAAAACAAAAGCCCCCTAGAATGTAACAGAACAGGAACTATCGGCATACGTTATACTCAGTAAGGGAAGTACTGGCTTATTTCATGTCACTCTATATAAAGAATTTTTAACTTCTGTATCTGAGAGAGTTTTGTGTACCAGACTGTGATTTATGTAAAATGTGTATCTGACGGGGAGTTGCTGTCAAAATGTTTAACAAACCATGATCTGTGCACAAGGGGAAACTGAGGCGCGGAAAGGAGGGCCAGCGAGGGCCGGTCTCACTCTCCCCCCCCCCCCCCACAGGCCGCCGCTCCGTGGGGAGGAGGCCCTGTGATCCCCCAGGAACAGCCCCTCTGCCTGCTCCCCGGGGTGGGGTGGCGGGTCCCGGCGGGTCCTTCCTCCTCCCTCTCCCTGTGTTGTCATCACCGGAGACTGTCTGCTCCCCAGGCAGCTGGGCGGGGTAGGGGGAGGGCAGGTGAGGACCTCCCGGGCACTGCCACCGCTCGCCCACAGGCCCGTGCTGCCCGCCCGTCACGCCCCACCTGGATTCGCTCCATGCAGTGCCGCGGGGACTCGGCCGACACACACTGGATCTCCGGCCGGAGCCTCTGCCGGCTGAAGGCCACGGCCATGTCCCCGCACTTCTGGATCTCAGGAGCGGACAGCACACACCAGTGCAGGTAGCGGGGCAGCCCTGTGTGAGTGTGAGCGGAGGTCACGCATACTCGCCCGCTTCAGAGGGGCCCGGGCCGGGAGTGGGGTGGGGCTGGAGGTGGGGGTGGGGGAGACGCTAGCACCTCAGTAGGAAGAGCTTGGATCAGACCTCAGGGAAATTCTGGCTTTTCCTCGTGAGCAATAAGGGGTAAGTTTTTTAACCAGCTGATCCTGTGTCTTCATACAGATCCGGGATAACTCCATTTCTGGGGCTGTGAGGAAGCTGGAGGCAGATCGTGGCTGCCAAGGACCTAACCCAACGGCAGGCCATGTCCCTGGTTGTAGGCAAAGGAGGCATGGGGCTGGGGTGGAAGCCTGTGTGGAGACTACGGCAGTAGTCCCGGCTCTGGAGACAAGGGCTGAGCCAGGGCCGTGGCCATGGAGGAGGGGGGAAGGGGGAGGTATGGAGGGAGGGGAGCAGGATTGAATGACTTCAGTGGGGAGGAGTAAGGAGCCTTTCCCAAGACAGACCCTGATGGCCTGGTCCCACCCCCGAGAGGCGGGGCTTCCAGGGAACCGGCCACCCGTGCAACTACAGATGCTTCCTCCCAACCCCAGAGGCAGGGCAGTGGAAGTGGCAGGTCTCCCCTCTCTCTGCCCCCTCCCCCCCCCCCCGGGGGTGGTGTCCTCCCTGGCCACCTCTCCAGGAAGCCCTGCCATTCCTGCAGTCAGGCCGGGCTGGAGCCGGAGGGGAAAGGACAGGGGGACTTACGGTTGGAGTCACACAGGAGACCCTTCATGGCACGCAGGTACTCAGGGCCCAGCCATGCCTCGTAGGTCTGCGTGGCGATGGGCACCAGCTCCGAGGTGGCGTCTTTGAAGAGCAGGTTCTTCTGGCCGTAGGCCTCAGAGCTGAACATCTGGAAACTACTGTTCTCGTGGCTGAACAGACGCTGTGTGCCAAGGGGGGCTGGTGAGGTGCTGCAGAGAGAGGTGCATCCCTGCCACCACCCCTTGCTTCCCGTGCCCTCAGGGCGGGAGCTCACGCTGAGGGCGGGGTGAGGTGCCACCTGCCCCCTTCTTCCCTGCTCCCCAGTGTGTTCTGCCTTTGTCACACTCAGCTGACTGCACATCGGACTCAGGGCCCAGCTGTGGGATGGTACCACGGACAAGCAAAGGGTGCGGCAGTGGTGGCATGAACGGGGCAACACTAAAGCTGGTGGGCCCAGCAGCCAGTAACTTGTCGCTCTTGTGAGCAGTGGTTGAGCAAAACATTCCTCGCCGTATTGAATTAACGGTGTGCTTGGGCATTTATCGGTGTTGTCGTTTTGTTTGTTTGCTCCCATGTCCGGTTTTGTTTTTCAGAGTTAGCTAGCACCGTCAGTGCCGCCCTCCGCTGACCTGGCCTGAGGTCGGACACCGCAGAGGCCTGGGTCCCAGCCGGGTGTGCCCCAGGGGAGGGCCTCGGGGTCTGACCGGCCCAGCTGCAGGGTGCCTCTAGCCTTGAGCTCCCGCCCTGGTGAGAAACAGGAAGGCCCAGCTCCTCTTAGGAAGCTGAGTGGGGCGCCTGGAACTCACCTGGCCTTCGTTGAGCAGCCGGAAGATGAGGCCTCCGTCGGTGTCAGGCCGGGTGACCACGGCATGAGCGGGCACCCGGGCCAGGTGACATCGTCTCCATTCAGTGACGTCGGCCCGGCTGCCATCCAGGCACAGCAGCTGGAAGTCCCGTGACCGCAGCTCCTGGCCCCAGGAGGGCAGGGTTTGTCCTGGGGAATTGGGGAGCCCTGGTGAGCGGACGGGGAGGGGTGGTGGTGGGTCTCTTAGGAGGGCCTCGGGGACAGCCCGTGGGAGGGAGCCTGGGGAGAAGTTAGGGTGACAGGGGCCACAGACCTGAGGTGAAAAGAAACTCGTTCTGGGGTTAGAGCCCAGAGCTTCACCAGGGGTAAGAGTCAGCATTACACCAGGAAGGAAGAGACCTAGAACTTTCCGTGGAGGTAAGAACCCAGGACTCCACCAGGAGGTGAGAGCAGAACTCTGAACGGAGAGGAGCTTGGTGGCTGCACAAGACCAGGTGTCTGACAGACTGTGTCCACTTTCTTAACTTTTCTACCTCACCAATTTCTACTAAGATGGACTTGAGGTTACAATACAACACTTACTAACAAGATTTATTAAGGATAAAAAGAGTAAGATAAGCTGAAGATGAGAGAGAAGTGCCAGGAACTCATTGCTGCCATCAGGCATGAAATTGGCTCTGAGCAGTGGGCAGTGGGCAGGGCGCCATGTGGAGACAAACTGACAGAATCTGTCCAGAACCATGTCCCAGAGAGAAAAGGGTAACTCTTCGAAGCTTCCCCCACATATTAATCCAATATTAATCCATCAACTTATATTTTGGTATATTTCTTCCAAATCCTTTTTTTATTCTATTTTCTAACCATTTTAAATATGAATGAGGACATACTTGATAGGCAATCTTGTATTCTACATTTTTTCATTTGTCATTTTGAAGTAATTTTCCACATTATTATACACTTTCTATAAAACTCATTTATAATAGAAAACAAATTTACTTGAAGGAGTGAATATTGACACCAAATAGGAAAATTAAGAAGGCTTATTTTAAAAAATGAGGAGGATAAGCATCTACTGGTAAACAGAAAGGAAAAGATTATTTGTGAGATCATGAAAATTCTGTTCACTCAAAGCTACTTAAAAACAAAAACCCACCACCAAGAGAGTAATAGTTGGAAAACTCCATAAAGGTCATTTTTAATGATTGCATAATAATTTATAGCACTCCCAACAGTTATTTACTGTCATTCTCTCCTACGCCCCAACTTTTCTCTATTTTTAAACTGTTGCAGAATCCTTGTATAAAACTCAGGGGAGGGAGAGGGTACAAGCAGCAATACAGATGGCGGCCTAGGCCATTGGAATAATATTTATTTTTCAGTCATAAACTTTGGTGTTTGTAAATTGTTGGATTATAGGTTGAAAATAAACTGTTGTCCTTAAAAAAAAAAACAAAACAAAAAAAACAAAAAAAAAAACTCAGGGGATTGCTGGCCTTCCTGTGAGACAAATGCATCACGCAGGTATTTTCACTCCTGTTTCTATGGCTAGGGGCAATTAAAGTCATGTGACTTTCACGACTTTAGACATTTATGTCTGCTCCACTCTTTTGCTCTGACCAATTGTTTTGCATGAATACCTTTAAAAAAATTATACCATATGACTCAGCAATCCCTCTCCTGGGTATCTACCTGAAAACTTTGAAAACATCTCTTTGTAAAGATATATGCACCCCTATGTTCACTGCAGCATTATCCACAGTAGCTAAGACATGGAAACAACTGAACTGTCCTTTAAAGAAGAGGTGGTACATATGTACTATGGAATACTAACCAGCCGTAAGAAAAGATGAAATACTGCCAAGTGCAACAAGATGGATGCATCTCGAGAGTATCACGCTAAGCAAAGTAAATCAGATGAAAAAGGTCAAATCATTTTTTTTTAATCCTAATTTCTAACCATTTTAAATACGATTAAGGACATATTTGATGGGCAATCTTGACTTCACTAATATGTAGAATATAAAATAGAAAACAACAAATAAAAACTCATAGACAGACAGCAGAAAGGTGGTTCCCAGGGGAGAAGGGAAGGAGGGAAGAAGGAAGAGGGTAAAGGGGTCAAATATATGATGATGGAAACTAGATTTTGGGTGGTGAGCACATAATGCAGTGTACAGATGATGTAGTACAGAATTGTACACTTGAAAGTGATATAATCTTATTGACCAATGTCACCCCAATCTATATATATAAAAGGCTAATGTGCAAAGTGTCCCCTCCGGAGACCAGGAGACCTGGAGTTTGATCGCTCGCTACCACGTGCGCTGACCACCAGGGGGAGGTGCGGGATGAAGGAAGGCAGCCAGAAGGCCCTGATCAGCCCTGATCACTGGCCAGGCCAAGGGTCCCTACCCATGCACGAATTTCATGTACTGGGCCTCTACTAGATTTAATGAAAAGATGGGCATGATAGGATTTGCCTGTCTACCTCACAAGGTTGTAGTAAAACTATAAAATCATTTAAAAAAAACACGACTTTCTTCGATTTCCTTAGAATACTATCAAAATTCTAAAAGAGCCCATTTTAAACAAATACATCCCTCTTCTTTCTCCACCTTCCACATTCACCTTGGGGCCCAATTCCCTGCTGCCTGTTTTCCTAGGACCATCCTGCTCTGGAGACAATCCTACGTGCTTCCTCTTTCTGTAAGAGCACTTTTTTCTTTCTCAAATCTGGCGCCTATTGCTCTCCTTCATGAATGTCAGACTACATGATAGACCTTCTGATTAAAAGGCAAAGATTAGCCGAAACCGGTTTGGCTCAGTGGATAGAGCATCGGCCTGCGGACTGAAAGGTCCCAGGTTCGATTCCAGTCAAGGGCATGTACCTTGGTTGTGGGCACATCCCCAGCAGGGGGTGTGCAAGAGGCAGCTGATCGATGATTCTCATGGATGTTTCTAACTCTCTATCCCTCTCTCTTCCTCTTTGTAAAAAATCAATAAAATATATTTAAAATATATATATATTATTGCCATGTTCAAATGAAATAAAAAAGGACAAAGATTAATTTTAAAAAAAAGCAAATGATTTTTAAAAAATGGTCAATGATCTGACATTCTGGAACAGGAAAAACTGTAGAGACAAAGGTCTGATTGGTGGTTGCCAGGGTGGGGCGGGGGTGGGGTTGACTAGAAGAAACTTCTGGAGTGAAGGGTCCATCACAATCACCATCTTGATTGTGGTGGTGGTTATACAACTGTTAGTTTTGGGCAAAACTCATAGGACTATACTTCAAAAAGGGTGCATTTTTGCTGTATATAAATTATATACCTCATAATACTTTAAAAAAGTGATTCTTAGGCAAATCCAAATTAAGAGACATTCTATAAAATAACTGGTCTGACTCTTCAAAAATAGCAGTGTCACAAACTCACACACACATACACACACTCACACACACACAACACAAAAGTTTAAGAAACTGAAAAGACCTAATAATTAAATACTGTGTGTGATCTTACATTAGGTCCTGGCCTGAAAAAAATGTCTGCAAGGAACAGAACTGGGACAATTAATGCATCTAAAATATGGATTGTAGATTAGATAATAGTATTGACATTGCTGTAATTAACCTAGTTATAAATAACTGGAAAGGAGCAAAGGGAAGGCCAAATATATATATTTTATGGAATCTTTTGCTTATTTTTATTTCTTAAATTAAATCTTTATTGTTGAAAATATTACTTGTGTCCTCCCTTCCCCCGCTTGACCCTGTTTAGGCCCTCCTCCTCCCCCAGGCCTTCACCACTCTATTGGCTGTGCCATGGGTTGTGCATTTATGCATACAAGTGCTTTGGCTGATCTCTTCCCACCCACTCAGCCTCATCAGGAAGGCCAAATAGTATGGGCATGCGGGCATGCCCCTTGTGCCGCTTTGCCAGGAAGCTGCCGTTTAGATGCATGCCCAGCAAAGTCTGGGTGAAACAGGGAAGGTACTGTCTGTCAGTCACACCTGGGAACAGGTCATCGGTCTGAGCTGATTGAGCCCATAACTCGGGCATGTGGCCTTGACCGGAATTGAACCCAGGACCTTTCAGTCCGCAGACCAACACTCTATCCACTGAGCCAAACCGGTTTTGACATTAAGCTGATGATTTTTAAAAAATATATATTTTTATTAATTTTTTTACAGAGAGGAAGAGAGAGGGATAGAGAGTAAGAAATATCAATGAGAGAGAAACATTAATTAGCTGCCTCCTGCACACCCCTTACTGGGGATGTGCCCGCAACCAAGGTACATGCCCTTGACTGGAATCGAACCTGGGACCTTTCAGTCCACAGGCTGAAGCTCTATCCATGAGCCAAACCGGTCAGGGCTAAGCTGATAATTTTGAATAATGTGATAATATCCAGACGGCTATTGGCAGAAAAAGATCCCCTTCCCCTGTGAGGAGGAGTCAGCTCTTTCGGTTTGCGCATGCTCTTGCTCTTAGTTGGCCCCTGGCTTGCGGGGCCCTCATGCTTCTGCATTTTGGGACTCACACACGATGGACTAGTGAACTGCACCGCTTATGCTCCACCACACCCAGCTCCGCGTGGAGGGGACACTCCGGACACTGGCTTTACTCCTCGCTCTGCTGACTGCCCAGCTGCACAGCTTCCAGGACTGGGTTAAGGGAAATGGACTTTGGGAATCCAGGGATGGAACCCCACGCAAATGAAAACCACCCTTCCTCCCGTGCAAACCTCAGGAGACTCTTTACTCAACATACAGTAAGGACCCCACTCCCGCGCGCCCCAAAGACAGACCTCCACGCATTTCTTAAAGAACAGTACGGTGTCGACGTGGCGTTTCCTGAGTCTGAGAGCTGTGCTGTGGCGAGGGCCGCCTCTCCCCGTCTGAGGAGGCACCATCTGAAGTACGGAAGGGGTCTGACACGGCAAACATGCCGTCAGATGGCTCAGAAAGAACACATCCATGTGGGAAGAACAATATACGTCAGCATGGCAAATGCTGAAAGCTGGTGTCCTTGTAAGGATAAAGCGGAGTTCTTGAATGACTCTTACAATTTTTCTAAAGTTCAGTTATTACAAAAAATTTAAAAAATGTAAATGGCAGTGATATTTGGATCAACATCCAACACCTCGCCCAGGGAGAAAGGGCTGGCTTCTTCAGAGAAGAGGAAAATCCCAGGGAGGTCGACGGGAGTTAGTGCAGAGGTTTGCAAACTTTTTTTTGCAAAAGCAGAACCTTATGCCCTTTACACACCTGGGCAGCTCAGAGCTGCTCGCCCGGCCCCCTTGCCCGCACAGCAGTTTGAACTCCATTTGCTGAGACCCACCTCTTCCTCTGCCCACGCCTGGGGCCGCGCCCCCCCCCCCACGTCCCCTCCCCCCACAGCCCCCCCACTCACCGTCAGTGTTCTCCAGCACTGTGCTGTGCTTCACGAAGGCCACGTCCCCGGCCCCTTCCGCCAGGCACCTGCAGAGGAGAGAGCTGTGAGCCTGGGTGGCGCTGAGCCCCTCCAGCCTCCCAGCCTCCCCCTCCGGAGTCCGGCCTGGACCACGGGGCGGCCACGGTGGGCACGGTGGCCAGCTCTCTGGGTGGCTTTGCCAAGCGGTGGGGCCCTCCCAGCCTTACACCTGTGAGGGGAGGGTGAACAGGTGGCCCCTCCGGGAGAGACCCTTTGTGACCTGTTCAGACCCTGTGCATCCCGGGCCTCAAAGGAGCGGTTTGAAAATGACTTGCCCTGCCGAAACCGGTTTGGCTCAGTGGTAGAGCGTCGGTCTGCGGACTGAAAGGTCCTGGGTTCGATTCCAGTCAAGGGCATGTACGTTGGCTGCAGGCACATTCCCGGTGGGGAGTGTGCAGGACAGCAGCTGGTCGATGTATCTCTCTCATCGACTTTTCTGGCTCTCTATCTCTCTCCTTCCTCTCTGTAAAAATCAATGAAATATATTAAAAAAAGAAAAAAAGAAAGAAAAAGAAAAAAAAAAGAAAGTGACTTGCCCTGAGGCAGGGGTTGGACTAGACCTTCTCACCATAACAAAAACCCGGGGTGCAAGGGGCGGGACTGCTATGCCTCCTCTGTATGTCCCTCCTCTGTAGGTCCCGGCCCAGTGCTGGAAAACAAATCAGTTTCACTAAAAAAGATGTTGACAGGAAGCCAGGAAGGCTGGTCAACAACCTTAATTGCTCTAACCTTTAGTTGAGATACTGTTAGCTGAAGCAGGCTTCACCTTGTTTGTCCTCCCGTGTCAGTTTCTGTTATTTCCTGCCTAAGGGCTACATGTAAATTTCTGTGTATGTTGCCTGAGATGGTTTCCCCAGAGCCTCAATAAAAGGGGATGGCAGGGCCAGAGCAGGAGCAGTTCTCCCACTAGAGTTGGACGACCGCCTGGCCCCCCCACATCGCCGAGTTGAATTTCTTCAGGTCTCAAGCCTCTTCGTTTGTGTCGGCCCTTCTCTAGAAGCCGAACCCTGAATTGGAACTCTTTCCACGAAGGCCGTGAAAGAGATTCTTATATCTGGCCCCCAATGTACAGCCCGGGGGTGGGGGTGGGGGTGGGGGTGGGGGGTGGGCGGCAGGGGCTGCCTGGTCCAGGGGGAGCACCCAGGAGAGTGGGTGGGCCAGTCTCTGGCTGGAGGACAGGGGACTGTTTTTCTCTCTGTGCTAGAATCCACATTTACCCGGATCCCAGCTGGAGTGTGGGCACCCGCAGCCCCCCTTCTCCCCTCCCCCCCATCCGCTTCCCATGGAAACACTGAGGCCAGGGAGGCTGAGGGGCTCCGTGTTTATGGACAGACAGACGGACGTGCCCCACCGCTGTCAGACCACCTCTGGGCCCACAGGCTCCTGTGATGTGCCAGCCTGAGCCGGGGCCCCACCCCGCTGCCCTGAGACACGAACGGGCACAGGGGAGGGGCCGGAGGTTGTTTTGTCACTTTCTCTCCCTGAGCCCTCACCTCTACATGGAGCAGACCTGTTGATTTATGAGCAGAGCCGGCCTGGCTGCTCGGGATGTTGTTTTAAACCAGCCGGGCACAGCAGCGCATAAAGGGCGCTTTGATGTGAGGCAGGACACGGCCGAGCCCGGGCCTCCCTGCCCCAGTGCTTTTCCTCCCGGGCTCTGGGCCTCAGGGCCTCCCCCTGGCTCAGCTCACGCCCCGCTCCCCTCGCCCAGCGCCGTCCGGCCCCCCTCACCCCCACACTCACCGGAAGGCCCCGCTGTAGTCGTAGTACCGCTCCCGGGGGCTCTTGTCGCACACGCCCTCCCCGGCCGCGTCGCCCCGGCACAGGCGGCAGAGGGACTCGGAGTAGCTGGTCTCTCCGGCCCCTGGGACGCAGCTGCCCCCGAAGAACTCGCTGACAGCTGCGGGAGGAGGGCGGCCAGGGTCAGCCCGCTGTGCAGGGGCCAGGCCCCCCCCAGGCCCCAGGGGAGAGCTGGCTCCCCGGGGACAGGGCTGGACCCTCCAGGCTTCAGTGTGAGCAAAACGGGGGCCACGAAAGTGTGGGCCTTGGGGAGGGGCCGTTGTTCTTCAAACATGGCTCAGGACGCAAACCACTGACCCCAAAGGCCGCACAGGACCACTAATGTCAACCAGATACTGATCTCAGGGAGGGTTTCACGTCCACATCGTAGGGGTCATCAACGAAAGCGGGAAAGACATCCTTACTTGAGATTAATTAATTTATGGACAGCCGAAACCAGTTTGGCCCAGTGGATGGAGCCTCGGCCTGAGGACTGAAAGGTCCCGGGTTTGATTCCGGTCAAGGGCATGTACGTGGTTGCGGGCACATCCCCAGTAGGCGGTGTGCAGGAGGCAGCTGGTCGGTGATTCTCTCTCATCGATGTTTCTCACTCTTTATCCCTCTCTCTTCCTCTCTGCAAAAAATCAATAAAATATATTTAAAAAATTAAATTATATACCAATTTATGGACAATGCTTCTCAGAAACGGAGGAGAGAGAGGTGTTGTGGGTGAAGAGGTCGGACTCGTGGTTCCAGGCCCTGCCAGCCCCGAGGCCATGCCCGCCCTCTTGACAAATATTTGTCCTGTCTGACAGCGCTGTGCGGGGAGCAGGAGCCGGTCACATGGGCTGGCTCATCCCAGACAGACGCCAGACAGAGGCAGGCCCTCCCAGGTCTTCTGCATCCTCCCACCGCCCTGTGACTGTGCACCGCCCCGCCCGCGCCCGGGCAGGGTGCAGACAGTGTGTGTGAGTCCTCTCAGTGCTCCCCACCCCACAGCTCTCCTCGCCTCCTCCCTGTCAGTCCCCTCGGAGGGCAGCCTCCCTCCGGGAGCTGTCCTTCACATTCCTATTTCACAGGATGAGGAAATGGACTGGAGTCATCCATCTGATAGCAAACTCAGGGCTTTCAAAGCCCACTGTTTCTCCCGCAAAATCCTGCATCCCCCCCCCCCCCCCCCAAACACCGGTCCGCCAACCAGGAGGCAGCACGCTGTGGACAGGGATCTGGGGACACCACAGACTCTACTGGGGGGAGGGCGTGATCCCCGGAGGACAGTGTGAGAATGTGGTGGCCATGTGTCCGGGGTCACCTCGGCGCTGTGTTGTGTCCACCGTGCAGAGAGTGGCACAGCCAGGCGGCCAGGAACAGAAGCCCCGGCAGGAGGAGCAGGGCTCCCGCACTTAGCCGGACCCTCGGGCCTCCCCGGACACCCCACGCGCTGCATGTCTGCCGCCCCGCTCCGCTCCCCCTCCGCTCCCCCTGCAGACCCTCCTGCCTGCACCCCAGCCCTAGCCCCTGTCCAAAGGACCCGTCAGGGAGCAGCAGGTCTGATTCCCTACATGCAAACCTTCCGGGTACAGATCAGCAGCTTGTCTGGGTCCTGAGGAGACAGTTTCTGACTCTATAAAAGTTGAGGACACGTTTCTGGAAATAGCGACCTACACCAGGTCCACACCGGGTGAGAGCAGCTCTTTGGTGCATCACCAGGTCCCAACGGGGCTGGGCCCCGGTGCCAGGACACCGAGGTGGAGAGTGAGTGGGAGCTGAGGGCTCTGGGCAGGAGTGGGGGTGGGGTTGGGGTCAGGGAGAAGAAAGAGGGGGCTCCCCAGAAACTAAAGCAGTGGCGACAGTGGGCCGCCCAGCATGGAGACAGGAGGGGCTGGGACACCCACTCTGTGTCTGGAGGCCCCTGGGGAGGGGGGACCGTGCTCGTCCTTAAGGAGACACGAGATGAAGGCGAGCTGGAGGCAGGGAGGCCGCCCTGCGAGGGCCGGCAGGGATGAGGCGGGGCGCGCGGGGCCCTCACCTCCGAGCACGTCGCAGCCCATCACCGAGAGGCTGCCGCTCTCCACCAGGCAGCCCACGGGCACGTTCCAGCCCGCCGTCCGGTTGATGCCCGTGTGGCAGGACCTGGCGCCCTTCAGGCTGCTGAGGGTCAGGTTGGAGCTCCTCTGGACCACGGCCACCGCGTAGTAGGAGGTGCCGACCTCTGGACAGAGAGAGGGGAGGGTGAGGGCGCGAGGGAGGAGCCACGAGAGAGGCCGCCCGGCCCCAGAAGGCTGTGGGAAGAGGGGTGTGTGCCACACAAACCTGCGCACGAACGGGTGTGTATGGACGTGTGTGTGTGTGTGTGTGTGTGTGTGTGTGTGTTGGGGGCTCTCGTTACTGAGAGAGCCAGCGAGTGCAGGCCCTGTGTCTTATCACAGACCCTGCCACCCGCCCCCCTCACGTGGCAGATATTATTTCGTTGGTTAATTTTCACCTTTCCTTCCCGCGTCAGCGGGCACATCGCTGGGCCCGCGTGTGCCTGTGTCAGGGCAGCACTGCAGCTGGACCGACAGCAGGCGTGGCCTGCAAGGTCTGTTTCCCAAAAGCGAAGCCCCTCGGAGAACTTAGGAGGACGGAGGGAGTGGTGCTGTGGTTATGGGGAAAGAGTGGTTGAGAGGAGCGGGGCAGTGGCTTCCCTCAGGCTAGAAAAAGTGAGAAAGTGATTTCCTAGTGCTGAGGGGAAAGGAGAGATGATAGATGATAGACAGATACCGTGTTTCCCCGAAAATAAGACAGATAGATACCCCTCTTTCCTCCGAAAATAAGACCTACTTACAGGTTTCCTTCTGAGTGAAATATAAGGCATCCCCCTGAAAATAAGGCCCCCTTAGGCTAAACATGAGAGATTTGGTCCACTGATTCTGAAAGAAATGGAGTCACAAGAAATTCACCAGGAAATTCAAGAATTGGATTGTTATGATGATGTTCCAGAAGATGATGACATGATTGTCATTGAATAAATGAATAAATTCTTGATACTGTAGGATTCAGTTTGGTTTGTGTTGAAAACTACCGTACTACCGTACCGTATACAGGTAATAAATTTCCTTTATTTTCATTTAACAATAAATGTGTACTGTATTCTTCTTCATGGAAAAATAAGACATCCCCTGAAAATAAGACCTAGCGCCTCTTTGGGAGCAAAAATTAATATAAGATACTGTCTTATTTTTGGGGAAACAGGCTAGATAGGTTAGGTAGGTGATAGACAATAGATAGGTGGATAGATAGGATAGATAACAGAGAGATGATAGATAGATAATAGGTAGGTAGGTAGGTAGAACAATGTGGTCTCACATCACTCAGGATCCTGACCAGGTGCATGTGGTGATGGCGGGTGGGGGGGGTGGGGGGGTGGGGGGCAGGAGTCTGATCCTTGCAAAAGATGCCCCCTGGGCAGTGGTCGGCAAACTGTGGCTCTCAAGCCACATGCTCTTTGGCCCCTTGAGTGTGACTTTTCCACAAACTACCATGGCCTGAGCGAGTCTATTTTGAAGAAGTGGCGTTAGAAGAAGTTTAAGCTTAAAAAAATTTGGGTCTCAAAAGAAATTTCAATCGTTGGACCGTTGATATTTGGCTCTGTTGACTAATGAGTTTGCCGACCCCTGCCCTGGGCCAAATATGGCCGAGAAGGTGCCCTTCACAGGAGAGGAAGAGCTCATCTCTGGGGACTGAGGACGGATGTGCACACGCTCACTGCCCCGCGGTGGCGGGTGCCCGCCATCAGGATGAAGCTGATTCCAGAAAACAAGCCAGGCGTGTCCTGCGCACCTGCGTCGGGTCCACTCTCTGCTGTGCCCGCCGCACCTTTCTCGCTCCTTGAGCGCACCAGCTCTTTCCCGCCTGGGACTCCCGTCTGGGCTCCGCTCACTGTCACCTCCCTCCTGGCGGCTGTGTTCCCACAGGTCCCCCCCGCTGGCCTTACTCTCTCCCGCACGGCCTTTACTCTGTCGCGCACCCACACATCTGTGACCACATTTCCTTGGTGTTTGTTTATTATCTGACTCCTGCTCCCTGGGGGCAGCAACTGGCTCTCTTTTGCTTCTATGCTCATGACTGGCATGCAGTAGGTGCTTAATAAATGTGTTGCATTAAAGAGGAAGAGCTGTTTCTGGCCGATGAGCGAAAAGGCGGGCTGGTGTGCCGGGCGGGACTGTGTCCTGTGTCATCCAGCAGCCAAGTAACGGAGAGGGACCCCGTGCCGGGCACTGGAGAGGAGGACCAGGCCTCCGCAGGGGCCTCGCTGGGGGACAAGGAGAACAAGACCGCAGGGGCCAGGGCCCAGCAGAGTGAGTCAGTGCTCCGGGGAGCAGGAGACAGAGGCCCTTTGTAGGGGCGGAGACCAAGGGGAGCTCCTTGGCAATGACCGCGGGCTGGGCTGGGACCAGCGGAGGCGGTGGGAGAGGCACAAAGGGCAGGCGGAGGTGCAGGGACCCGGGCAGAGGGACTCCCATTTCTGACCACACACGCTCCCGCATGGAGTCTCACTGGGCCTGTGTGACAGGGCAGGGATCCCTGTCCCCATGTTATACGCAGGGAAGTGGAGGGCGTCCAAGGTCACAGGAGGTCGCAGGAAGGGGCAGAGCTGGGACTCGTGTTTGGCGTGTGGGCTCTGCGGCTCCTGATCACTGCCTCTTGTCTGCCCCCCCCCCCCCCCCCCGCAGCTTCTGACAGATGCCCTCAGAGGAGGTAGCTGAGCTGTGCTGACGCCCCGGCCACCCCAGGAGGTCACGCCCAACACTGTGCCAGGCTCGGGCAGCCCCTCAGTGAGTGTTTGCGGGTGAAAGTTAGGGGGCCGCAGGGATCCCTGTGAGGAAGAACAGATGCGGGTCAGCCCTCTGCATCTCTGGCATCCCCCTTTGCAGAGATTTGGGGAGGGGGGCCTCTGAAGGTTTGTGTGGCCAGGACCCCAGGACTGCTCTGGGGTCAGGGCTGCTGACCAGCTCCAGGGAGACACGGTTGGGCCAGGCCCAGCAAGGACACACGCCTGGCTTCTGCTCTCCCCCACCCTCCTCCCACTGGGCCCTCTGACCTTGATCATACACTTCACCCACCACGGGCTTCAGGCCGTGCTCCTTCCCCGCCTCGTAAATGGCTCCTCCGTCCAGGGTGATGGCATCTGCTTCCCCAGCCTGCTGGGGACACGTGAGTCAGCACCCCCATCCCTGCACCCCGGCCTTCCTCACCCCTGCACCCCACGCAGAAACACTCACTCAGGGCCCCTTGAAAAGCCCCCGGGCCCACCCTATCCTGGCTCCGTCTTGCAGGCCCCTTCCCCCACTGGGGCCAAGGCGACAGCTCTCCTAGGCCAAGGACTCGCCGTGTGTTTCTAACGATGTGGTTTGAAAGCATGGATTTTATAGGCCTTATAACCGTGGTAACGAGTCAGTACAAAACGGTATGCAGTGAGGAGTGGGTCTCCCTCGCTCTCCTGTTTCCCAGCCCCCTGCTAACCTGCTCCTCAGGTTTTCTCTCTGCGATGCAGACTGAATCGCTAACATGCACGCACACCCTCTCCCATCTCCCCCTTTTCCTTTTAAGACACCAATGGCAGTATACTGCCCGTACGCCATGGCGCCACGAGTAGAATTGTAGTCCAGCAGAGTTGGTTTGCGCCCTCAGAGTGGAGCCTGGCGGAGGCCCTTGGCCCGGGTGGGACGGGACAGGGCCTGGGGGCATGTCACAGGCCGAGGGGATGGAAACCCAGTCCCCTGTGCCTACCCCTGACGCTCCCCCCACAGCTGTCCTGCCTCTGAGTGAGCAGGCCTCCTGCCACTCAGAACTGCTTTTCCACCCCCCCTCACCCGCCCAGGCCTCTGTCCCCGGGCCCTCCTTCCCCAGGAACCACACGAGCCCCGTCTGGAAAACTCCTTGGCACAGCGAGTGGCCCACCACCGAGGATTCCGTGTCTGGGCTCCCTCCGCGGGGCGGGCAGTGTCCCCATTCTAGCCGGGGCCTTGCGGGAGGAAATCTCTGCCTCTCAGACACCTTTCCCCGCGGGCCTCCCAGCGCCTGGCTGGGGCTGGGCAGGAAGCAGGCTGGCCCTGGTTCCCTTGGAAACCCAGGAGATCCTATCGCCCAGCCCTGGAGGCGGTGGCGGTGGTGGGGGGACATGAGTGCCCTTCCCAGTGAATGGGGCTGTTGTGTGCTCCCTCCTGAGTCAGAGGCCTCCCGTCCGGCGGGCGGAGGCGGCGGGGCGGAAGGAGGGGACGCACCGTGATGAGCTGGACGCAGTGGTCGGCGGAGGTGCCCTGGACGCACCGCAGCGGGGGCTGGACCCCGGCTCTCCGGAAGGCGTTGCTCATGTCGCTGCATTTCTGCTGCTCCGGGTCCGAGGTGGTGCACCACCGCACCTCCGCCCCGCTGAGCACTGGGGGCAGGGGACAGTGAGGCCCGGCTCCGGGGCAGCCCAGCCCCCTCCGTGCAGGGGGGCTCCCGAAGCTCTGGGCCACCCAGTCTGCAGAGCACAGCCCTCCCCCGGGAGCACTGCGGCACACAGGGGGGCCACAGACTGGGAAGCGCTGGCTCCCTGGCCGGGCCGTGTGTGGGGCCAGGCATGTCCCGGGCCCAGGGTGGATGGGTGGCTCCAGCCTGGCCTGGCCCCTACCGGAGGCAAGGGAGTGCCTGCAGGTACCAGCTGGCTACTGAGACCCTCCTGGGAGCCTGCGGCTCTGTGACGGGTGGCTCCTGCCCCTCTGGGGTCTCCGGGCCACCCGGGGAGCTGAGGAAGGAGAGGGAGGTGGCTGTGGCTGCCCTCAGGAGCCTCGCACCCTCCTGGAGCACCTGTGATCGTGCCCGTTGCCAACCCACCCTCAGGGCGCATAGTGCCAGGCCCCTGACAAGCACCTAGTTCCTGCTCCTCCCGCTGTGACTCCGGACAACGGACTTGACCTCTCTGGTCCGTTTCGGATGAGCAGCCGGCCCCTGTGTTAGCAAACCTGAGCGGAGCCAGGACACAGGTGCTCATGGCTGCCAGCCCCTCCCTCTGGGGGGGACCCTGGGGTCCCTGACCTGACCAGGCCAGAGTCCCGGAGACCTCCCCCCGGGGATCAGGGCTCACGGGGTTCCAAGGCGCCTTTGCAGACCCAGCTCCACGACAACGCCCCCCCTCCCCCGCCCAGCCAGACTCCCCCACCTCCCCCGCAGCTTTGGGTCCAGCTTCCACCTCCGCCTCCCATCCCCGCGCCAAGGGTCAGGATGCGGGTGTCCTCATCCCCCCTCCCACTACCCTCCGCTCCCAACCAGGGCGGCACCCCCCGCCCCAGTGCTCAGGGCTGCACCCCGGTGGGTGGACGGAGGGTGGCGGGTCCCAGCGGGTTGAGCGCGCCCTGCAGAGTCTCCGCCCCCGTCCCGGCCCTGACTCCCCCTGGGGCCCTCTCTCCGCCCCTGCGCCCCGCAGGCAGGGGGCCCTGGAGCGGCCTCCTCCTCCCCCTCCCTCCAGGGACCCTCCCGCTTCCGTCCCGAGGGGACTCCGGAGAAGGGGGGCTGCTCTGGCCCCCCGACCTCCTCCGGCTTCCACGCCCAGAGGAGCGATCGCCCTCTCCCGGCCTCTGACCCCGGCCCGCTCCTCCCGCCTCTCCCGCCTCCTCCAGCTCCGCTCCACGCCGCCTCCTCCGGGAAGCCCTCCGGCATCCCGCCTACCCCGCTCCGCGCTAGTGCCCCGAAGCGTCCTCATGCGCCGGACGCGGGTTCGGGACCCCCTCCCGCCCCCGGGTGCCGCTCAGGGGCGATGGGAGCTCCAGGCCCCCCGCCCCGGCCCCGCCCCCGCTCCCACCGGGCCAGGCGGCGGGGCTCACCGGTGCGCAGAGCCAGGAGGAGCCCCAGGGCCGCACTCGGGCCCCGCATGGCGGGCGCGGTCTGGAGCCGGGCTGGGTCTGGGTCTGGGTCCGAGCAGGTGAGCAGGGGCAGGAGCTTTGTCCCCGCTGCCTGCCTGCCCGGCTCTAAGGCTCCTTAAAAGTGTGTCGGGGCGGGCCTGGCCGTGTCCACGCCCCCGGGGCGCCCGCCCCACCCGGACCGGACACCTGGGCTGCCCAGGCCGGCCTCGGCCTTCTCTCTGGCGCCCCTTGCTGGAGCCTCGGCCGGTGCTCACCTGGGCACCACACTGTGTCCCTGAACCAGGTGTCTGCTCTCCGAGGCCTGGTCCCTTCCGCTCAAGGGCTGCTCCAGGCGCTCTCTCCTGCGGGAGCACCCTCACTGCCTCACCCGGACCCCAAATATCATGTTCCACTGGAGAGGCAAAAGCTCAGCTTTGGAAGGAAGAAGAGGTCAGAGTCTGAGCTGGAAGGACGCTCAAAGGCCATCACACTCTCACCAGCCTCTCTACAAGCCCACGCTGCACCAGGATCTGGGGAGACAGAGGCAAAGCTTGATGGACACAGACCTGGCTGGGAAGGAGCTGGTAGGGGAGAGGATTTCTCATTCCAGGCAACTGCCTCTCCTGGGACCTACCTAATGAGGGAAATGAGTGCTCAGGCCACTCCTTTAGTCAGTGGCAGAGCTGGGACCAGAACCCAGGGGGCCAGCAGAGCTGGCTCACTCCATCATGCTTTGGAAGATGGGAAGGAGACCAGAGAGGGGCAGAGGCGGAGAAAGCAGATAAGGACAAAGCAGGTGAGCGGAGGAAGCAAATGAGGAAGGTGAGGGAGGTAAAGGTGGGTGGTCTATTTCTCCACCCCACTGGTTTTCAAAGTGTGGTTCCCAGACCAGCAGCAGCATCGCCTGGAACTTGTTAGGTACGTAAATTGTCCGGCCCACCTCTGACCCACTGAGTCAGAAACTCTGGGGGTAGGGCCAACACTCTATGTTTTCTTCTTCTTTGTTTTAAGTATATTTTTATTGATTTCAGAGAGGAAGGGAAAGAGAGAGAGAGAGAAACATGAATGATGAGAGAGAATCACTGATGGGCTGCCTCCTGCATACCCCCAACTGGGGACCGAGCCAGCAACCCAGGCATGTGTCCTTGACTAAAATCTATCCCAGGACCCTTCCGTCCACAAGCCCACGATGCTCTATCCACCGAGCCAAACTGGTGGATAGGCAACACGATGATTTTTACCCTGGTGCACAGCGGAGTTTGAGAACCACTGTTCTAGGTTGATCAGGACTACAGCTCCCCATGTGTGGTGTGGACGTGTGGATGGACTGGAGAAATTGTTACTGAGTCATCCGCCTCCATATATGTCCTTCTCTTTTATCACCCCTCATGAGCACCCAGGACTGCGATCCTGCCTATCTCAGGTAGAGGACATTCTATATAATAAAAGCCCAATATGCAAATCAACTGAGCTGAGGAACCACTTGTCAGTGGGGGACAGGGCTGGTGAGCGGAAGGTTCCAGGCCAGCCAAGGTGAGTGCCAGTGGGCAGAGGGAGGGACTAGCAATAGGGGGCGATGGCGACCGGTAGAGGAGGAGCAATCAGGGGGATGGGGCCAGCCGCTCACAGGCTGGCATCATCCCAGTTGCTCGCAGGCTGGCATGATCCCACAGAGAGAGGCCACTAACAGTGGCATCAGGGTGATGGAAGGCAGGGTGGCCACTCACTGGTCTGCACTGTTCCCTGATTGCCCCACTGAGCGATCAGGGGGACAGGGCCAGCCGCTCGCAGGCTGGCATCGTCCCACAGAGGGAGGCCACTGCAGGAGGCCGCAGTGGGGCAATGACAATGGGAGGGGGAGAGAGAGGAGGGGCGGGGCCAGAGCTGCCCCCTGGTGGTCAGTGCACTCCCACAGAGGAAGCGCTGCTCAGACACAAGCGGGGCTGACAGCTGGAGTGCAGCAGTGGCAGGAGCCTCTCCCACTCCCGCAGCAGTGCTATGCCTAACTGCGGCTTAATCCCCCGAGGGCTCCCAGACTGCGAGAGGGTGCAGGCTGGGCTGAGGGACCCACCCCTCTGCACACGTTTTTGTGCAATGAGCTTCTAGGGTGTAATAAGAATGTTGAGCGAGCGAGAGAGAGAGAACCCCTGGGTCCGGGTGTGTCAGTCCTCCAGCCTGCTCTGCTCCCTGGGGAAGGAAGCCCTGGCTCCTGGGATTATGCCTTGAAGCTGCAGATTCTCACACATGGACACGATCCTGGGGGCTGGGCTTCAGGAGACCTGAGCTCTATTCTTTTTTTTTTTTCTTTTTCTTTTTTCTTACATATATTTTATTGATTTTTTACAGAGAGGAAGGGAGAGAGAGAGATAGAAACATCGATGAGAGAGAATCTTCGATCAGCTGCTTCTTGCATGCCCCCCGCTGGGGATGTGCCCGCAACCAAGGTACATGCCCCTGACCGGAATCGAACCCGGGACCCTTCAGTCTGCAGGCCGATGCTCTATCCACTGAGCCAAACTGGTTTTGGCATGAGCTCTACTCTTTAACCTCGGCCACGTCCCTTCTCTCAGAGGCAGATCGTGATGGCTCTGCTGCACCGTTCTCCTTCCCCTAAGAGCTGCTTGCTCTGGGAATTTGAGGGGGCATGTGTGGTGCAAGCTGTGGTCCATCCCCAGCTGGCGTCACCTAGAGGAGGAGGCACTGCTTTCTAACTCGCACAAGTGGACTAGCAGGTGGCTGTGGCAGAGGGGCCGCGGTTTCTCCTAAGGGCGTGGGATGCATAAAGTGTCCTCAGCAAGCCTCATCCTCCTGCCTGTGGATGAAAAGGCCCGTTTTTGCAACTCCGAGAGCAACCAGAAGGTATTGGCAGAGTTTGTGTTACACTGTTCCTCTAGCAAAGCTCCGGGGGACACTGATAAGGTGTCAGACAGCTGCAATATAAGAGCTTGGTGAGCTCCTTCCCAGCAAGACCTTTTCCTTAGCTCTCAGGTCACCCCTCCACGGTGTCACCAGGGAATTTGCTGTCTCTGGATTCCAGCGGCTTCTCGATCAGGCCATTGCCTGGCTCTCACATGCACGTAGCTTGTGTGTCACGGGGAACTCGGCCTCAGCTTGAGCCTGGATCCTGCCATTTCTGGGATGCAGACTTACCCAGGTGGTCAGAGGATTGGGTGGGGTGCAATGAGGGTGTAATGAGCTAGCCATTTTACCAAAGAACAGCCTTACAGAGAAGCAGAGGCACTAAGGTTAATTGGGTCCCCGTTCTGGACTCATTGAGGTAAGTGTATAAAAAAATACAAGGACTGTTTTCACTGAGGCTTCTGTAAGATGTTGGGGCCTAAGCACACTGCTTTGGGACCCGAGACCCTGTTCCACGATATGAAATACAAAGGGCTCTTCTTCACTCTGCCAGGACTCAGGGTGCCCACCAGCTTGGAGCTTGCTGGCCAGGGAACTGGAACACAGTAAAGAGCCTCTGGGGACTCAGAAAGCAGAGGGAGGGCCTGTGACAAGGCAGAGAACCTGTACTGGTGGGGTGTCAGGGCTAATGAGCCAGCAAAGTGTGGATGAACAAGTCTTCTGCCCAGAATATTAGAACAATTAATCGTTTTTCATTTCAACAAGTCATACTTTATGTGTTTCTATTTCTAGAGGCTGTAATGTCTTTGACTAAACATGTTTAGCCCTAACCAGTTTGGCTCAGTGGATAGAGCATCAGCCTGCGGACTGAAAGGTCCCGGGTTCGATTCCAGTCAAGGGCATGTACCTTGGTTGGGGGCACATCCCCAGTAGGGATGTGCTGGAGGCAGCTGATCAATGTTTCCCTCTCATCGATGTTTTTTCTATCCCCTCCCTTCCTTTCTGTAAAAAAAAAAACAACAACAATAAAATTAAATTTAAAAAAGAACATGTCCAAACATTTTCTTATTATGGGACATCTGGATGAGCTGTCATACACAGAGAAAATTAGGAATGCAGCAGTAAGTATGTCAGCAAAGAACATCACCATCTTACAGTAAGACTCAATGTCATTGATAGATTCTTGTAAACTGTAAGGGCGACGACATATAACAAAACCAATTTGCTATAAGCTAATTGGTATAACAGGAGTTAAGTTCCTATGGCACATTTCTAGTCATAAAAATGTTTACAAATCCCTAAATAAAGACCCAAACACTCCTTTTTTAAACTTTATATTTTCTTTATTGATTAAGGTATTACATATGCGTCCTGATGTCCCCGTCGCCTCCCACTCCCCTGCTCATGACCTCACCCGAAAATACTTCTAATACTTTTGAAATAAATATGAATTACACAGACATTTAAGAATGATCAGTAAGATAACTGATTTCCAGCCTGCTTATTTCAGTTCAGGGTCTTGGTGGCCAGAACCTATCCTGCCACCACCCTGGACTGGATGTAGGGCACACCCCGATACCCCACTCACTCAGACAGAGGCAGTGCTAACTCCCCCATTCACCTCACGTGCACATCTCTGGGATCTGGGAGGAAACCAGAGGGTCCGAAGAAACCCACACAGATATGAGGGGGACGTGCAGACTCCACACAGACAGTGGCACCAGCAGGGAGTAGGTTTTTTCTTCTCAACATTATAATGAAACTTGAGGCATGGGTGGTTTCTAGCAGCCTGCCTCGATTGGGGTTGGGGGGCAATTTGCAAAATTAGCCTTTTATTATATCAAATGTTTTTTGAGGACCTGCTGTACTCCTGACATCATTCACCACGAATGTGCTGACTGGTCAATAAATCTGAATTTGTATATTGAGATCAATGGCAGACATATCGAGGGTTTTGGGAACAAAGGTTTTTGCCACTTTACAAGTATTTTCCTTATGAAGCTGGACTTGGAGAAGCCTGCTCAGAGAAGATTTGACTTTGGGTGGTGGGCACATGGTACTGTATACAGATTTATTTTTTTAAAAACAGTTATGGAAGCAGGACTTCATTTTCTTTCATTCTTTCTTTTTGTAAAAAATGTTTTTTATTGATTTCAGAGAAGAAGGGAGAGGAATAGAGAGATAGAAACATCAATGATGAGAGAGAATCATATAATCGGCTGCCTCTTGCATGCCCCACGACGTGGGCATGTGTCCTGACTGGGAATCGAACTG